TATCTTTCTGATCTTTTCGCTGTAACTGTACTGCGCCTTTATGGAAAAAGCTACTGCGGTTGCGAAAAAAAGCACACAAAACTATAGCAATTATTGTAATATTTATTATAGTTTAATGTACTTTTTTCGCAACTACAGTATATTTCATAAGAGTGAATAACAGAATTGAAAAAAACTGCACGGAATTAAATGTAATAATATTAGCGCAACAGTCGTTTTTTAATTCGCACTCTGCTCGAAAAAAGGATTCATTTCATATAAAAATCACGGAATTATTTTCCAATAAACATTTGATGACTAATCATGACGAGATCTCTATTAAAAAAGGGTCGAAATTCAAAGTCGCGGATGCACGCATACCTTCGATACGTGAGTACACGTACATATACGAGCAAGCACATAAGTGCACTTGCGCATACATCCCACCCTGCGCGTACCCGCGGGCGTCGTCTTACCGCCACATTTCTCGCAGTTATACGAGAGTCGCGAATGCCTTTCGCGAATATGCGAGCTCATAGTACGCCATGCGGAAAGACGCCCGTACCGTCGACGTCGTCGTCTCGACGCGACGTCATGTCTCCGTCGACGTTGTCGCATTGACGGAGCGATGCGCGCCCGCGCGGATGCACGCACGCGGTCGTAATTAATCAACCCGCGTCGTTTCGCCGTAATTCGCAAGGTTTTTGAACACGTAAGGAGAGTCTGCAGAATGACATAGGGAGAAAGGAAGGAAATACAGATAGCGAGATACTAAATTGTTCGCGCCTCAGTTCATCAGTCACCATACGTATACATAATTTCGTCCGTCGACGGACGGCGACAACGGTCGTATTTCTCTCCAAACGTACGACGTACGCGCGAAATTTTTTCGCGTATCCGCGTAATTTTATATATAACGTTCTATTGTCACTCTGGAAAATTTCCCGCGAAAATGCGTGAAACGGCCAGACACGGCGCGGGCGTGTCTCGTGCGTGTCGCTAATTCGTTAATGAATGGATATGAGCTAAGAGTGTCACGCGGTTTACTCTCATGTGGCTGTCATGGCTTAGAGTGCAACTAACGCCGCGGGTTATTCATTTAATGATTAACTCGATGACTGGCGTGGCAGATATTTCATGTCATTATCATTTTCATGTATCAATAATTAACTGAATGCAAATGCTACTCGTGTGTTTAGTTAAACGATTAATTGTCGAATGAAAACCACTAGAAAATATATAGATAATATTTGTTGTGTAATCTTATTTGTACTTATTTCTTTAAAATATATGAAGGAAAAAAGAGAGACAGGGGAGAGAGGATGGGAGACTCAACGATTAGTCATGAAAAATCAGAAGACTTAATTTCAACTTTTGCTCTTACTTTTACTCCTGAAAGATATTCAAATATGTGTGATCAAGTTATCATATATTCGAATTATGATCAAATTAGACTGGTTGCGGAATGCTGTCTGTACGAAATGTCTCTTAGCAATATTCCTGTGCCTCATGTACGATCGCGTTCCCATATCCCAGCGGGAGCATTTTCACCTGGATGTACGCTCGTAATCCGCCAAGTGGAAAAAGGCCACCGTAAAATTCACGGGAAAAATTCTCGCGCTTGTCGCAACGAGCGAAAAAATTTAAGTAAGGTCGTTCAAATTGCTCGTATCATCTCCCGCGGTGTGTAATATCTATTATCGCTTTCACATATTATATATTACGCGATATAATTGTGAGCTTGCCTTGGCCGATTTTATCCGCAAACTATATAATAAAAAAACCGTCTAATATTAAACGCCACAGAGAATCTAAATTTAACGGCCAAGTATTAGCACGTTGACAATTGTTAATTTAAAAGTGCTATTTAAAGATCTCGATCTTTACTCTATTTAACATTTATGTGTAGTTTTCAATGTATATAGTTGTACATTTAAGAGCCTCTTAACTTTGCTTCAATAGAATGGTTCGAGATTATTTATCGTAACTCGTTGTCAAGCCGTCAATGATTTCGAGTGAATTGCTATTTGCGAATTGTTAGAGCTCGAACCGTCAATCGTGCTGACGCCGCGCACGTGTCATTAAAGGCGTGTTCACGCGAACATGCGGCGCACGGTGTGTACAGATGCCACCGTCACCGGTGATTTTCTAGTTACGGTCAAGAGAAATAGCACGCAAATACTTGAAACTGTGCAGACGTCCGTCGTCTCGTCATCTTAATGACAAGTTTACACGAAATCGCCAGCGCGGCAAAGAGAGAGAAAGAGAGAGAGAGCGAGAGAGAAAGTCAAATGGTAAACCCTGTAATTTTTCCTTCATAGGCAAGCCATCATTGTTATCATCGTATCATTATCTACTTTATACAGATATTTTGCGGATGTACATTTGCCTTATATTTCCAACAGACTTTGTAGACTTATACTTACGTATATATAGTCCATATACGTCTATATATACTTAGCAAAGAAACGACTATGTACGCTTTTGAGAATTCCGTTTCCAAGTTAAAATCCTTTTAAAACGGCCGGAAGTTAAATGCATGATCATCATCGGGCCGATCGAACCGAGAAACGACGATCGTCTTCGGACGATGGCCGATTTCGCGCGATAGCCAATACTAGAGGAGGACTAGATTTCCGGAGGCGACCGATATAACGTGCAAGTTCTGTGCTTTCTATCGTCTGAAATCACGCTCGCGCAGCCTGCTGACGATGATTGGTTCGAATCCGACAATACCCGACAATTCGCGCGTATACGAACGGGAATCAAATCGCGCGACTGAGATTTGACTCTTGTTATTCGTTCCTCACAACCACTGTGATAAACGAGATGCAAGCATTACAAAATGCGTTGCAAGAAGAAAAAACAAGGTACAATAATGTGTTTTTATCCTTTATATCCTAAATTATATTTCATTTTATTTCGCTACATGCGCTCTCTAGATACCCTCTTAAATTATTTCAATTGTTAATTGTTTGTTTGGATAATTATAATTTTACCTTTCTCAGTTCTACGCGATTGTTACCTTCTGTTAATAAATGTTTCCCTATTTTTCACTGTTTACATTGCAATTGCAATGAAATTTTGCTTCAGCTACTCTCTCAACGCACACATATAGCGAGCGTTCATGCCCGCCATTAATCACGATGCTCGATGCATACAGTTATGCATTTTTATCTCAAATATTTGTGATGCCGCGCATAACGTCATGATTAATTAATTACACGGAGTTCAAACAATGGCGGAGGCAACGGGCGTATCTTGCGCGCTGAGCGAAGCGTTTATACCAACACACCGATATATTTCTGCATTTTTGTTACATGTCCTAGCCAAAAAGCATCTCTTTTTTGCGAGTATTCGGAATTAGCTTTTCCGCGCAATGTGCAATGGTGCAGCCGCGAAAGCCGCAGTATACCACGCACCGGATTATATTAATTAATATAAACACGGTCAAACATAAACACTGCCACGCAAACAAAATCCTTTCGAGTAGAAAAAGTATTATGATCAAATATACGCGATGATTTAAAATCACCAAAGCATCGTCTCTATGTTTGTTTCATAAAAATTTCTTATCGTAATAATTATTTTTTAATATTAAAGCGTTTCGTTGAGGATTATGACGTCCCAATAAAATTTTGCTAAGTGAGAATTGCGCCCCTGAGTAATGTAAATTTAAAAAAATTGCAATTAAAAGATATACAAGTAGACATTCTGTGTGTATGCGGAAATGCACACAAAGCGCACCGCACGTTTTTTCTACTCGGCAGAGGGATTCTGAAACGATGGTAAAAAGGGAACAGAGTCTCGAATAGTATGAATACGAGTATACAGCACGCTAAAACCACTGAAAAAGAGAATCATTATTCGGCCAGTATTTCAATTTACCCTAAACGAAACTGATACCACCTCCTAACTCTTGCCGGTGTAATTTTTTGTCGCACCGATCGCGCTCGTGTTTTCTGTCGTCGATACATTGAAACAGCCAAAATATCAACCTTTTTTCGTCGCAGTTCGTACAACGAGAGAGCTCCGTTAGCGCACGTTAACAACCTCAACCTGGCGCGGCTTTTTCTTCTCTACCTTTCTCTTTCTCTCTTTCACCGTGACCCTCTTTCACTCTTCGCGAAAATGTCCGTCCACCTCGTTGTCTCTCTCTTTCGCCCTATCGTGATATTCGCCCTATACCGACCGTCTCTCTTCGTCGTCCCCCGATTTCAGCACATAGATTACGACCATCGGCACGCGCGTATGGCGTGCGCCCATAAAAACCGGCCATGTATAAAACCGTCGTGTTCCCGCGTGCTCGACGAGCGAGCATTTTCATCGGGCCCCTTCCACCACCTCGCGTCGTTCTTTTTCTGTGAGGTCCATCCGTGTCGCCCGTCAACGCCGCGCGGCGGAGAAAAGCACGCCAGAGAACAAGAAACATAAAGAATGATGGGGTTGGCTAGCTCTTACTTATATGTTTCCGGAGCCGGGCGCAAAATTTACACGCGAATTTCGAGTTAGCTTCAAAAGACCCTAATGATAGACAAACAATTTTCTTCACATAGGAGTTTAAAATATATATATGAAAGAAACAATCGTTTTAATCTGTTATACTCATACTTTTCATAAACTTTTAACGTTAATTTTAATTAATTCTACCCCACTCCGTCTTTCTCTCGCCTCAATTTTCATACCAATAGCAATTATAAGAATACGCTCAGAAATCTCCCAGAAATCCCTCAGAAAGTTTTGCAACGTTCTCTCTTAATCATTTCAGAAATAATCATTGACCATACAAATGTGTTCAATGATCATTAAAATAGTAATGATCATCAATATTGAATAGGTACCTGCGCTGTCATAAATTGCGAAATATTTTCGATTACGCTTCTTTAGTTAAAAGTACGAATTACAAAAAAATTTTGGTTTTTTTATAAAAAATTGTCCCCTTTTCGTGCACAAGATAGAAAACTACTCCGAGGAAATAAACTTTCGGTAGTGCTATAATTCTAACGTTGTCGTGGGCTTACCGTTGACGACAGCGATGATGCCGAGGACGCACAGTAGCAACGATCTCGCGCACATCTTAGCTCCTTCTCTTTTCGTCTCCCTCGGCGAAAGAAAAGCGAAGAGAAACAGACACGCGCGATCCTTATGTGGCTTTATCGAACATCGTTCGTCCTCGTCCTGTTAATGCGTGGGATCAATTCCTCGTCTGATCAGTCAGTCTGATCAATCAGTCGATAACGAGCGAGGAGACGTTTCTGGGGAATGCTACGCCCGTCATCATTGTTGAATAATGCCGAAAATATCTTGAGTTAGCATCGAGATAAGATCGATTTCACCTTTCCTCCGATAACGATGACGACGATGACAATGTCTTAATTAAATATTCACGATCACGCAGGATCGTCGAGCAAAAAAGTGAGTTGCGACCGCAAAATAGCTGATTGCTAATTAGGGCTGATCGCATTAATCGGCTCTTAACCACCACGGTACCCGGAAGTACCTCGATCGAAATCCTATCTCGCCTGTCTAACTTGCCTGTCGTAATAACCCCGAGGCTCGAGCTTCCGAGCTTTCTCCTCTTTCTCGTCCTTCGTCTTCGATGCTTCCTCTGACGTCTTTCTACTCGCCGCTCCGTTCTCTCCCTTCTTTCTTCACCTTCCCTTTTTCCGGCGGTTGCTGCTGCTGCTGCTGCTGCTCCTGCTGTTGCTCCTACCGCTTCGCTTTCTTTCCTTTAGCCTTGGGACATGATACCCTCCCCGCCACGAATCTTCAGTCTACTTGTTTGTTCTAGATGACGTCAGCTCGCCGAAAGCTACCTCGCAATTCCTCACGGGCTAGCTTCCGGGATCCTCTCAACGTAACTTAGCGAAGTAAGTTGAAGTACCCCTTAGCGCAACTAGAGCTTCTTCTATTCATCGAATATAGCCAAACTTTTATCTTTGATCAAAGCATCCGTTCGATGTGAAAAGGATGCGAAGCTTCAACTTAATTGCCTGCCTTTTTTCCCTCAAATAAAAAGTTACGACTTTCGTCTGGAATTTAATGGAGTAATTCCTTTACGTCTTCGTAAAAGTAATTTTCTGGAGAATCGCCAAGTGTATATCGCTGTGACGCGAGTTAATCGCGCAAGTTCGCGGAAAACAAATGTCGGCGAGAATATCACGCGGATTCGCCGACTCGCGATTTTTCTTCGTGGAACTTTTCCCCCGCACGAAGTTTCGGAACTTGAATAATAGTATAAGTGTCTCGTCGCCGGGATAAGTCTGGGGTGCGAGGACTATATTTTACTTATCAACGCGTGACAACCGCGAGACGCTCCCGGCCACGGCGAGCTCGCGGCGCTTACTGAGCTTGCGGAAAAGCTCCTCGAGGAGCGTCCGCGAGATGAGAGCACGTTTCTCATCCCCACTTGGTGAACCCGCGATTACGTTGCGCGCCGTGCGCGCTGATTGGCCGGGCATGCGCCCGAAAGCTCGCCGAGTAACGTGCGTGCCCTCCTGGCACGGAGGGAGAAAGAAAAAGAGAGAAAGAGAGGGAGTGCGAGGGTGGAGAGGTGGGCTGGATGAGGGAGACCAGAGTAAAGGGGGCAACGAAACCTCTGCGATGCTTTTGGAGTACCGACTGCCGAGTAGTGTTGAAACGCTGTTGAAACCGCCAGTAGTGGGGCGACAACGCGACGGGAAGGAAGGAGAAAGGGAGACGCGCGCGATGCAGAAAGGACACCGGGTACATCGCGCGCTTCGCGCCACTACCCGCGCTCGCACACGCGTCGAGCTTGCGGCAAAAGTTATGACCTCAAAGGGGTCGTTAACGAGCGCCCGCCAAATTAGTATAACAGTTCGCCCTCCGGTCTATCCTCGCCCCCTTCGCTCTCTTCAGCCTCCCCCTTGCCCCAAGTACTAGTGTGTCCTTTCTCTACCTGTCTACACGCAGCTATTTTTCGACCAAACTCAAAACGCAAGTACTATCCATCATCTGCCTATCGACTGGCCCAAGGCAAATAGTACGCACATTGTCTATATTGATTCATTACAGCTCGTCCATTTTATGATTGATTACTATGATAGTGTCTGCAATTGGTATCGCAAGATATGACGGGTCGCCCTTTTTTCTCGAAAATTTCGGTAACTACAGAATATTCCAACAGAGAAAATCTTTTCGGAGCGTTTTTATACGAACTTTTCGCGCCCTTTTGATGAGAATAATCTATCCTAAAAAATTAGTACAACATTTTGAATTATCCAATGCACCATAACATATCTGAATGCAATGTACAGAGGAAATCTATATTAACAGAATTTGTGTAAAATCTATAAATTCTCATCCCCACTCAATTAGATGAACAATATAGATAATATATTTTTTCATCTTACAAAAAATTTATCGCTGTAGTTCATAATAATCAACTGATTGGCAATAGCGTTACACTTTTATGATTATCGATATTCAGATACCGTTTTTGCTTTCCTCAGTTTTATTTTACGTATAATATAAATTATGTGTATCTCCTAAATTTATATTTAGTAATCTTTATTTTTTAGAGTGATATAATCACAAATAGCGACATACTATCTATACAAAATGGCATTATGCATCATACACATAGAAAGTATTTAGAGATATTAAAAAATTAATTATCCAATTACTCGATAAGCGTTACACTTTTATGATTATCGACATTCAGATACCGTTCTTGCTTTCCTCAGTTTTATTTTACGTATAATATAAATCATGTGTATCTCCTAAATTTAGATTTAGTAATCTTTATTATTTAGAGTGATATAATCACAAATAGCGACATACTATCTATACAAAATGGCATTATGCATCATACACATAGAAAGTATTTAGAGATATTAAAAAATTAATTATATATTATGGGAGAATAAGAAAAAAGACGTTTTACTCACATAATATATAATAAAAAGATAATAGATTATAACAATTTGCCAAAGGATCCATCCTAACGTATGACTTGAGCACTTTTTGTGATACTTTGCGTCGGTCATGATACTTTTCGCCGCAATCTTCTCATGAGAGACGTCGTTACTCTCGAAATTACTTTCCATTACGCGAAACTTGGTAACTCCCGAAAGAAGTAAAAGTAAGAGCTTGGACGGCGAACAGACGATGGACGTCGGTCCAACAGCCGCCGTTGGATTTCGTGAGCGACAACTTCGGAAATGCCGGCGACATCGCAGACGCTAGTAGTGCAGTCAATATATAATGCGCGACGTGCTCCTGCATTTCAAATTACCCGCACAGTACTACCGTGCGACGAACGTGCGAGCGTCGCTTCCCGATGCTGCCGATCGCCCGCCAACAGCAATAGTGTGACACTATGAATTCGAGCAATTTCTCTTACTCTGTCTCTCTCTCCCTTTCTCTTTCTCGCTCTACATTGCACATTGCATTTGGATAATTATCATCCCGATTTTAGAGGCAATACGTTATTCTATAGCACAACGGATTTACGTCTCAAGCACCTAAATGCAGATTCTCTTTGCAAACTTATGTTAATAAAGTACATATATCATAAATCATAAATATAATACTCAAAACTCTATAAAATTTATATATATTATCCATATGTTATTTCATTAAAACTTCACATTTTAGAATTGTTCAACAGAATTAAACGAAATTTTAAATAACATATTAACGTACATACGAATAAGTGAAATACTTAGAAACTTTTCTATTCATATCTCATTACTTGCTTTATTAATAATTCAACTTTAACCTATTTCTTCAAATACATGTATGACTTTTAATTTTATATTATTTATATCATTTCATTAATCACCTTAATGCCAAAGCTCCGATTGTACTATCGCGCATGTAGTAATTGTCAATTAATTCGCGTACGTCGTAATGGTCGAACTTAGAATAGAATGGGCGCCATGCCTCTAGAGACATAAATAATTATCCAATAGCGTGATAATGTAGTAGTAAACGCATGTGCATTGCCAGACAAGCATTGCCAGATTCACAATGGATGACATCATCAATTGAGATGGTAATCTTTCTTACATTAGTGTCTCGCCAAATATTCGATAATTTAATTTAGTGATTAACGATTAGTAATTGGCAAATCGAAGTAGAACTACTCAACAATTTAGCTGACATATTTCATAGATATTCTTGCTAACATTCATATAAAATGACACAAGTCAAATTTGGTATTATTTTCGAATTAATTAACAGCAGATTTCTTGTAATTACATTTATTATAATTATACTTCTTATAATAATATTTATATTCAATTAACGAGCCAAATTTAGTTTTCATATATTTATATCGTTCCAAATATCCTCTGTACGAACGTAATTAGCCAGTGCATTAGCTAGAGCTAAAGGACAAAGCCTGTTAACGAAAAAGGAGCGTCTCTTGGAAGGAAGAAAATGTTTACAAAGCCACGTACGTGAATCGTACAGATTGGCGTCCGACGAATGGAAGAATTTCAACTTCAAAGAGAGAGTATTAAGTTTGTGATTTGCTGTCTGCCTGCCCGCGACACAAAGCAGGCGAGTATAATAGCGAAATAGAAAGCTGCTTTCTCGCGACGTCGTTAGTCGTTCGACGTGAATCGCGATGAATACTTTAAAACGCGTGAACTAAAAATAAAAAACGAAAGGCACAATTACGAGTACACGCCAAGTTGGAGTAATCTTAACTATTCGTCGGCCGATCGAGTCCATAATTCGCGTTTCAAAGGGCCGACATTTTTCCGGGCGATGGTTTCATAGCAGACTGCGGCTGATAATCGAGAACGAGGAACGTGCTCAACGAAGATGAATTCTCTTTCCGTGCAAAAAGATTTTCGCGTTTACCGTCGTCCCGCGCTTTGATCGACGTACCGTCAAAACGACGTTTCACTGTCTCATTTCGATTCTGTTTTACTTCGCCCGCATATCGATAATCCTCCAGTTTTTTTCCCGGCTTTTTACGTTTCTTCGATCCTCTAACGCGCGCGAGCGCACACCTCCGAGTTCTTTTTCCCTCCTGCCGCCCCCTCCGGGACCAATTCTCAGTCTAGCATGGAATATACCGGAAGATGAAAGAAAAGATCCAGTCATTAACTGTCGTCGCGCCGACAAAAGGAGATACGCGCATAGACGCGGAAATACGGATGCATTTTTTATTTAATTCCGTAAAAAACGAGACGGTGCCAAGAGAAACGAGAAGCAATAAAAAAATGTCAATAATAGAGAGTAAAATTGCAGTCGGTGGTTACACTTGGCAGGTGTAAACGTACCCTTCCATTTCTTCTTTCCCCGCAACTGCGCGGGTATAATAAAGTTGCACCGTTTAATCGCTCGTTTCTAACTTACAATTAATGGCAAATTACTTCTATCAATTCCACCAATAACATAATCGAGAAAAATAACAATAAAAGTAGAGTTCTATTTCCTGTAATAATAATTCCTATTAGATTGAACTATAAAGATGAATGGCATAATGCATTCGCGTTTAAAACGCTGCGAACTCGAACATCTCCGATTACGAATGCGGCGAGCAATTCACGCGTCCGATGATAATTGAGCTCTCCGTCAGCCGATTGATTTGTGTACAAAGTGGGAGATTCTCATCGTTTATACACGTAAAGTTTCCCGCGCACAAATACGCGTGGGCGCTGACAATCGCGCGGTGTATATTCGCCGCGCAGCTTATCCAGCCACGATACGTATACATATACACGCTCGCCGACGATTATCGTGACAATTTCATTTCGCATTATACTGCCCGCGCCCGCGCCGCCCTGCTCTCCCTGCCGACTGGCCAATGACTTCGTACCGGCCGAAAACTGCCCCACTCGCATCTCCGATCGGACACACCGGCGCTACATTCGGTAAATTTCCCTTCGGGACGTGTTCCGTGTGTATCGAAATCCTATTTAATCGAAATTTCGGATGCGCGTTTAATCCATCCCCGCGATCACCTCTCCCGCAAAACATCCCCTTTCTGCAACAATCATCTCTGTCGCGTGCAAATGCGCTCGCAAAAAAATAAAATATCTCTCTCTGTAGCCGATATGGGCCTGAAACCTGCGATGGACGGATTCAAAAGTCGGAGCACTCGAGGCCAAATTGCCGTTAACGTTCTCCCGCCGGAAACTGCGCGATTTTCAAAGCGATTTTTGTATCCGGTTTTCAAATTTATTGACAGAAAGTTTTAAACAATACACGTCGAAAGCTATTAGTTTTTTTTTTTTCGGACAATAGAGTTTATCTAGTAGAGTGTACCGATGAGCAAGTATATCGGCAATAGCTATTATTGAATCAAAAATTACACCGGCCATAAATTTATACATTTTTAACCATCAGACTTG